TTATCTACTGACTTCAGCATCCACAGAGTGTAAAGCATGTGAGTTCTTCTTTTCTTGTCTAAACTATTTTGAACGAAGTCTCTTTTACACGCTAGTTGGGCAAGCTTCTAAGGCATTTGTGCAAAGTGATGATTCAAGAGCAACCTGATTCAACACTGAGAAATTCATAAATAACTTCCAGCAGTAATTAAAGTGAAAAACTACAGCTAAGAAAAGCAATCACTTTACAGTATCAGTTGAGCTACTATACTCTGCAGTGTTAAAAGTGGAATATGTTTACTGGTGCCTTTAAAGCGGGAGGCATCATTGTGAATTCTAAATATACCAAGGATTCGTTCTGTTTTTTACATAGATTGAATTGGATTAACAGTGATTAAAAAAACCATGAATATATACGTAGAGAAAGGATAGGAGTGGAAGAAGAACACAGTGCCAGAAGTTACCATCTGGAAACATACTATACATGTAGTCAGTATTCTTGTATTAAAATGAAGAGTTAATTTTGAAGTACAAAATGGTTTTAAGATAACTTAGTGCGCTCTGTAAGGCCATTCCCACGAGTCAAGTGCATGATATTCAGGATGGGGATATTTATAAAGGACTTCAGTTTGAAGAACTGGAATAGCCAGCTGATGTCTTTACCATCTTGATGAGAAAGTTTGCGCTATTTTCAGTAAATACATACTAAAGTCACAAAAAAAACCCCTACAAATTCTTTGTCTGGATTTCTCCTTAGATTAGGGTTAAATGACAGGTAACATTCACACAGAGCTTAGTTGTTGAGCTTTTATGTACACAAAACTCAACAAAGTAGTAGAATTTAGGTAGCTATCAGTAGCAAATAATGGGTAGGTCTTAGAAGTAGCATTCTGAGGCTTTTTTACTTGTTTCTCAAGCTCTCCTCTGAACCACCCGCAGAGCCTGGATTTACTAGAAGGAACACTTAACCCTGTATTGTGTAAAACTTTGTACAGCACACCCTCAAATTCAGTTCAAAGATGCATTTTTTTAGAAAAAGGTGAAGAAAAAAAAATCAGACAAAAACTTAAATTTGTTCCTGTCAGGGTACAGCTATGGCCGTTGTGCTGTGGCACATAATCCATGCTTTCCTGGTCTTCAAAGAGAATGTGAGAGTAGTTGTGGATACTAGTTCAGGCTTCAGGCAGAAAAAAGTGGTAGCCAGCCCACAGCAACTTGAGACTTAACATGCAAGATTTGTAAAGTAGCCACTGCGTGATTCCTGTAAGCCCTGTGCTTACAGGAATTTCTGTGGTTATGCTTTTGATATCAGCCAGGTGTTGGGGGAATTCAGATTTTATTTATTTTTACACTTCGGCAGGACAGAGTAATTCAACTGTGTTGTGGATTAGTTGATAATGAAGATGGGAGTAATTTGTGAAATTTAGTTCTAGAACTGGGCTTGGATAAAAATGCTCAGGTTTAGATGTGCTTGTGGTTTGGACCAACATCTCGCATTCCATTTTTGTCTTTTTGTGACTCTAGTTTTAGGTACTAAAACATCACAATATGTAGTCGTCTTAGGAAGTTCGCTGTATGCCTCAGTACTAGATACAAGATCTTTAGCAGGACTCCACGTGAGGAACAGTTAAACAAAAGCTTGTATGAATAAGGCACTAGTAAATGTTTGCAGCAAGCAACAACTACAGTCTGTATTCTTTAAGAATAAAGCCATTCTGTTTAGGAAATTGCCTTTAATATGACAGAGTTACCAATGCCAGTTACAAGGGGGTTAGAGAAAGTGCATCTTTTGGGTTATGCCTGTGAGATCTGTGAGAAACCACTGAATGCAAATCCCAGTTAAGTTTGGAAATAGCCTGTGCAATGGTGATACTCAGGAGAGCTAAAGAAAGAGGAGACTGGTCTAGATTCTGATCCCTGCTAAACCAGTGTGAATCACTGTAATGGATTTGCTCCAGATTTGCTTACATTGGTAGAAGGATCTGAAGCCAGAATCGAGGCTACTGTGGCAAATCTAGTTAAACAGTAACAGTGCTAACCCAAAACAAATAATTGGCTATAATCCCCTGAGCTTCAAAAATAATCTGATATTTTTAATTTCCTACTTGCTGAAGTCCAAAGATGCACTTTGTCTTTTGGCTAATGGAACAGACCAAAGCCTTCTGTACTACCTTGGAGCTGCTGCCATTCTAAACAGTTATTAAAATATTAATCCATAATTTATACCAAATGAAACTTTAGTCTGCCAGACTGTTTGTAGGATGGCTGACCGCTATTTCTCATTAAAAGTTGTTCAAAAAAACCCCAAACTCTTCCATTCATAAAACGAGAACATACTGCCACTTTTAAAATGTACTCTTACGTTATCAGCTCTTTTGGGGAGGTCATTGAAGCACCAGAATTTGTTTATCAAGCCAATAAGAATGCATTTGTAAACTAATGGCTCTGGTTAATATTCATGATTGTATTTCCCTAGGATCTGTCAAGTAAAACTACTACATCTAATTCATTCATTTGGTATACTAAATAGAAGGTCAGTGGTGACTCCACAGTTTGATTTCATCACTAAATCCTGCTCTGTAAACAGACAGCTTAGCTTTATCATCTGACAAATTTCTGTTCCACTCAGATCCTCCATTATTTGTACAAGATGTCATTTAAAAAACTTAACACATTTCTAGTATCCGTAATGCAAGAGGGAAAAAAATTACATTGATTCATTCTTGTATATTATTGCCATCAGATGCTACAATTAATAACTCTAGACAGTAAGGTTTTTTTGTTTGCGTGGGTTTTTTTTGTATCTTATGTAAGGACTTGGTATTAAGTTTATCTCAAGCTTTAAGATCACGCATCCATGGGGACCTCAGAAGCTTTATAAATATCTCAGCCGACTTTCAAAAATGTGGTGGGTTTTTTCATTATTTGTTTTGGGTTTCTTTAGCTTTGACTTGTAAGACTAAATTCATTGGTGGTATAACTCGGCTAAAATTTTCACCAGAAATTAATCTGGACTAATACTTATTTCTTAAACAAAACAAAAAAACCCCAACAAGTAAATTAAGTGCTGGATATCTCCTCTCCCATACTTGCTGTACATACACTAAATTATATACAGAAGGAAGAAAATACAGAAATTTCTCTTCACAAAGATCTTTCCTTCATAGCAACTCAGGAAACTTGTTTCTTTTTTAGATTATTTGTTTCTTACATGAATGTCAGAATATATGCTTTTCTGTGTGTGTGGGGAGGCTAATAAATGGCATGTGTTTATTTGAGTATTAGAAAATGTTACTGAGCATTAGAGCTGTGCAGAATCTTTTCTGTAAAAGTTGAGAACTTTAAAATTTTTTTTGTTAGTCATTTTCAGTAAGATGATATAAATCTCGGTAATTGCAAAAGAAACAAATATTCTTTGTCAAAAGCATGCCTTTTGCGGTCAGAACTAGTTTTGTGGTGTGTCTCTAGCTGGCAATTTGAAGTTGTGCATATGTTACGTTAATAGAATTTCCTAAGCTGTGCTTTTTTTTTTTAAAAACAAATTTGAACTTTTTTTTTTAACCTTGTAAACGAAACCTGTGTTTTGAAAGTCAAGGTAGGCTTTTAACTTGTTCTTAAGGTTAAAATAGTACATTGGGACATGGTTGGTTTTCTTTCTCTTTTTGCCCACTGCTTTCGAAGTGTGCCTTCAGTAACAAACAGCCAGGTGAGAAAAGTCTGCATTTTGGAAAAAGTTCTGTGAATATTTAACAAAATGCAGAACGCAGTTTGCTTTCATGGCCATATTTTTTAAACAGAAGCAGAGGGATAGTAATGAAACACTGTTATTATGAAGCTAAGCTATTACAGCTCTGACTGGAGAAAAAATGGTTGTCAAACGTTTATATGTATTTTTTTAAAGAGCAAATTCACACTTTTACAGAACAGTTGCTTCTTGGTGCAACTGAGTTGTGTTTGTAGAGGCACACTATTAACACCAACTGAAACTGTGGCCTAAATGAAGGCATCACATTTCTGTTTGTGCTGATGTATTCACCTATGTGGATGACACTTTAACAAAAAATGCCATTTCACAATTTTTTTTTTTTAAGTAAAATTTAGGAAAGAAAAACTTCCAGGTGTAAAATCAAACAATTACTATATGATCATTTAACAACAATTACTGCATGATTTTGCATAACCCTTGACCTTCCTAAAAAGTAGTATTTGATTTTTATATATGCATTGGTTTGATAATGAGTCATCACGCAACTGCTGACTCGCGCTTGATAAATATTTAACATGGGGAAGAAATTTTGTTGAGATCACAAAAAAAAAAATCAGTCCTAGGTCTTTGCTATTAATCTAGAGATTTTCATTGTTACATGAAGCACGTATAATTGGAAGTAACTATTATGTTGCAAGGAATCCACATTACTTTGATTAAAAAAATCCATTTATCTGAGAGGCTTTAGGGATTATGACGGATTTGATGAGGCCAACCCCAATCCCTCAAAACCTTCTCATACTTTTAGGAGATGAATGAATTACCAGTCATGTAACTCTAATGTATTTTAAGGCTAGTTAGAAGACGTGGAAGAGTGATACTCAAACTAAATGCTCAAAACCAGAAAGTATTTGCATGACTGGGTATTTATTTAAAGGGAATGATTTATATGGGTAAAAGTTTACTTACTCCTTTATGTTTTCTAATACAGTAAACCTACCATCTACTTGTATGTCAATAATAACTGATCTTAGAATGCCATTTCATAGCCTGAATCTTGATTTTTGCCTCAAGGTTCATTCTAGCCAGGATAGCATTAGGGAAAGTCCTAAAACTGAAACAGAAAATTGGCGCATGCTGTTAAATTCAGACGTGGAACATTAAAATTAACATGGAAGCAGAAATGACATTCAGTGTCAGAAGTAACAAATTTGAAAGTCTTAAATAATTCAATATAGAGAATATAGTTTAGACAGTTTTTATATAAGTGTGCTTTTTCCTAAAAACACCCCCCCAACCAAACTTTTTTTTGCTTTTTAAGTCTTTTGTCTGTAAATATGAAAGAGGTCTACACCCCAATGTAATTCTTCATTGCCGTACTAAACAGTAAAATAGTCTTTCTAATTCACATTGCTCATGGCAGTCTTATTTGATGTTGCTTTACTAAGTTTGTGATTAAAGCAGTTTGGGATTTTTGTTGGTTGTAAACTTTTGGCATAATGTGAATACCAGTCCCTTTCAAAAACCGCCTTGAGTTGCTTAATGATGCTTGTGCTGTTCCCCGCGTCTGCTTGGTTGATTACAAGGCCAGCTCCAGCATTCTGCGTAAAAGCATTTCCTACCCAATCAAAATTACCTACAAGTAAAGGCAGGAATATACAATGAGTTTCTAACATTTTTTTTTTAAAAAAAAGCTATCTCCCTAAAGGCAATCCAGCATGATACAGTATCATTTTCCCCAGTGCCTAGTTGGGCAGAGACAGAAATAAGTTTTCTATACTAGCAGGAAAGAAAAAACTCCATTACATACCAGTGTGTAGTACAGATCATTTCTGGTAGTTTAACAGCTCTAATCCTTCATAAAATAGGTTCTTTTGTTTATTCAAAACTAACCTGCTCTTCTTTTTGCATATATTGTATTATTACTCCATTTACTTTCCTCATTGGCCTTTTCAGTGCCAAGAATGAAAATATTTTTTTGCTGTATAAACAATTTTAAAGTAGGTGGGAGGGGGAGAGGTTGCTGCATAATGCTGAGCCAAACCAATAGATCTGTTACAGGTTACCCATTGGTAGATACTATTTCAGGAAAAAAACCCAGGTTTTACTGTTTTATGCCAGTTATTACCACCTTTGTTGAAATCTAAGGTAATAAATGAGCATTTCAAATCCTGGTGATCGCAAGGCAAAGAGGATAATTGGATTAATGGAAAACAGATAAACCATGTGTTTCAGTTATTTCTTTTTATTTCACTAGAAGTATAACTATTTAAGTTGTACATTTACGACACATGCAGTATTTTGGAGAAAAAATGCCGTTACTAGAGATCATCTTTTAAAACAGTATCTGAACATACATAAAACATTAAGGTGTCTGAGAAATTTATACCCTTTCTTTCAGCGTCATTTCAGCTACTTCGGCAGGAAATGTTAAGAATTCTAAAGTTGTCAAGGATAGTAAATTGAAGCCTCATCATAAGGGACATTTCTGCCTATGCTTTCAAGTAAAAGATATATCAGGTCCTTAAGAGGCATTTATATTACTTTCAGACAGCTTTGATTATTTCTTTCTTTTATTTATATATATCTAAGGATGTAAGGGCAATGGGAAAGAAAAAAAACCAACTCAGCTAAGAATCCATGCTGTGTAGACAAGTTACAAGTTACTGAAATTTGATCTGGCTATTGGAAGGGATTTAAAATAGAGTAAAAAAATTATTTTTGGGGGGGCTCATAAAACATTTGGGGGACGAGAAAGGAATAAGCTGCACTATTTGAAGTGAAAAATAAGATTTGGATAGGTTAAGAGAGGTGTGTGTATTTAGAGCCCATCAAGGTGAGCTTTTCAGAGTAGCTCTCGGTTGTATCTCTACACTACTTGGGATTCTCCATTCTTCATGTGTGCATGGGCATGCTTCTGGGTTGCAGTCTTTGCCCTCCCTCACTGCCTCTGCGATCACCAGCTTTAAGCCCTTTGCAGTAAGTCAGGGTGAGGAAGTAAGCAACTAAAGCATCAAGCTGCAGCATATTAGAATGCATGTTTTCTCTCTTGTCTTTATAAAATTTCATGAGTTACTTTTTAATTCAGTAGCAGTTTTCTGATCCTGCAGCTCACGCACAGCTCAAGCAGTCAAATTTCTTTAAAAGGTAGTTTTTAGCCTGCATTCAATGAGCATTTGAATGATAATGAACTTTTGCTAGGTGCTGTACAGCGACTACTTAAATATACCTTTAGGTACATATCTGATTGGTAGTTTGGGTTAATGTTAGGAGGGTGTCTGAAATGTCATTACAGTAAATGGAATAAGACTTCAGAAGATGAGGATGAAAGGCATTTGTACAGTATTCACCAGGACTGACCATAGCTTTAGTAATAACATGGGAAATGAAGATCAGTCCATCTTCATTTGATTGCAGAAACGAGAATACGTTAATAATCCAATTTATTCCTACTTCATAAAGTGTGTTGTATTTGTATTTTCAGTCTGTTCTTAAATACTGAAAGCAGAATGTTGCTTTTGAGAAACTGATTCATAGGGAAAAAAAAAGAGTTTTTAACTGAGAAGGCTCAAAGCTCAGTCTTCATCCAGGTTCCGAAGAAATGAACTGTTACTTCTACTTAACAAGCATATCAGCTGTAGATTCCTCATTTACAAATGGGTGTTATTTTTCAGGCTTTTGGCTACAAACTAGAATTTCTTGCGATGTGGTTACTTACCAATGTATGCAGCTCCATCAGTCACCATATATTTGTTACGATTTAATTTGGGAAGGGAAGTGTTCTTCTGTTCTTTAAGAAAGCATGCACTCTCTTCCTCAAGGTCAAAGAATTTCTGCCATAAAATAGAATGGAGTGCAGGTTAATTTGAACCGTTCTCATTTTATTGAAAATGAGTTAGTGCTACAGAACAGCTTGAGTTTTTATAGCCAAGCATTAATTTTAATAAAACGCTGCACATTGTATTTCCTACTAAATTCTCATAGCTTGATACTCACTATACCTTGGCATTCTGAACTATACAAAGCATATGGCTGCCACATACTAAAAGCAATACAGTGCCTGGTAGTAAAGGCTATGAAATGAACAAAACACCCCCATCTTTGTGTTCTGCATGGTAAGAGCCAGGAACTTTTCTTAGCTCATTCATCAAGGGACGTGGGTTTGAAGTCTGCTTCAGGATCAGAATTAGCAGGCACACCAACAGCTGAATTAATATCTTTATGTTACACATTGCATAGTTTCCAACAGGAAACTTACTGATTTCAGAAACTTAGAAAGTTGTCAGGATTAAATCTCATATGGAGGGATCAAATTTACCAAACCACAAGAGGAAAATGCATCTGTTTTACCCTAAAGGGTGAAGTCTGTTAGATTTTTTTTTTTTTTTTTTTTAAATTTTGGAGCAATATGCACTTGTCTGCATCGGTGCCAGACAAAAAAATGAGATTGCCAGTACAAAGCTAAGTATTGTTTGTTTCATCAAGGAGACTAATAGTTAGACACAGATTCCAAAACCAGAAGTAGAGAATAACATGATGAAGGAGAAATTAAATATTTACTGCGTGACTGGGAAACTTTGATTGAGGTGACGGTGTAGATCCTCAGAACAAACCTAATTCACGGTATATTACCAATGAAAGTAATTGGCTCTACACTGCACCCACTTAAGACATTGAAAAACAGTATTAAAAAAAAAAAACCACCCCAAAACTCCTTGATCATTCTTGGGGGTCTGTTTTCCATAATGCAAAATTCATCTCTTGAACCAGTGCTCTTTTTGATACAAACCTTGAACGAATCCTTTTAGGTTATGGAGATGTCTTTCAGAATAACCTTACTACTTTGAAAATCCAACTGTAAAATACTAAATTTGTAACTGAAATGTTGTGATCTCTGTGGTAGACTACATCATCAGTTTGATTAAATCAAACAAAGGTGTATGCATTGCACACAGGCAGTTAGTTTTATAAAGCATTCTTTACCCAGCTGATGATGTAGGTAGGTTTCAAGATGGTTTGCAGTAAACTGCTCAACTATTGCAAAATGTGTTGTTACTGATTACCAGGAACGGCAGCTTTAGGTTTTATACCACTGGTTGCTTCAGAACTGCATATAAATACTCACTCAAAAAATCTCTCCTCTTAATCATCAGTTGTGATCATTACAGTTTGGTTTTCCTTGGAGAACTTTCCTCTAAGTTCTGAACAGGCTTATCTGCAGTTAGTGTTACAAACCTAATTAAAATGGTTCAGTTGCAGACAAAAGGTAGAGTAGCCCAGAGGCTGCTGTTTATCTAACAGTTTATGCTGTGGACTCTTGTCAGAATCTCTCTCTTTCCCATTGGAAAACACACTGGGGTTAATTTTATGTTGTCAGAGGTAATACCAAAACTGCTTGGAAGAACTCTGTAAAATACGAAGTCTGGTTTAGGCTCCTGCTGATTCCAGCATTGAGGAGAGTTTCTGTTCTTGGATTGACACACTCCCCTCCCTGCAATGATGAAAGTTTATTAGCGCTGAAGCAGGTTTTTAGTGCATTAGACACAAAATTCAAAGGGTTTGTGTTTTTTCAGTGTCCAAATACTGGATGGTACTGTGGTGCAGTTTTATGATCGGTAACTATCACGAAGTTGTTTCCTTAAACAGTCTTTGAATTTCCTATGTCACCACATGCTTACTTACGAGTACATGGCATTGTTATCTTCCATAGTTTAATTTTTGTAATGAGTTCAAATAATAGCAAAATTCCAAAGATGATAGCTTTTTGAATTTAAAAATCAGCACAATCCCCCCAAACTGTTTGAGTGATTGTTTTTATGAAGGGCATTAAAAAAGATTATTCTATGTAAAACTGTAGTATCTGTCCTTTAAATGAGAATTATATTGTATATTCACATCTAACTAAGCTGCATGGAGAAATCATACCTTTAATTACAAATTTTTAACATCACTAACAATGACAGCATTACACTTAATCAAAAAATTAGAACAAACCATCTTAGCAGCTGTAAAGGAAAGTTTACAAGATATTAGGGGTTAGTTCTCAGACAACATCAGGACTGCAACTGTGTGCCTGAGAAACTGCTCTACAAACACGCACCCACCACAGAAAGTAGGTACTTAGCAAGCCAGAGATGGATCTGAATCTTTCTGAAAAGGTCTTGAATTTTTGGATGAAGCCAGAAGAAAACGGTCATGTTTTTCCTGGTGCCACAAAACAGGAACGGAGACAGTTAGCAGCCATAGGGTGTCTGTCAAGGGTACTCGCAGTAACTTCACAGGGATGTGGAAGATACTGTGTGACTAATATTAATATTGTAGCGAATAGTCTAAAACCGGCAAATGGGTAGAGTATTCAATGCTAGGAATTAAAATATAACAAGCTGTCTTCTTCCCAAGCTTGAGATTTAGCAAAAAGTTACATACCTTGATGTATATACAATAATCATATGAGCTTAGAGTTGTCAAACTGAGATAGATTCAGCAGATGTGCTGAATTGAAAAATCATACTGTTAGTGTTCTGTTTGTATAATAACTTTGTAAGAGAGAACATTTCAGATTCAAGCAGGAAAAAAATAGAAGGCTTGAAAATGTAATGTGTTCTCCAGCAACAACAGAGAAGCCCATTAACTCCTTGACGATAGAGATATCAGTAGGGAAACCCATCTGCCCTCACAAACAATACACAAATGTAGCTTAGATGAGCAAGTGAACCAGCACTGGCATTAAGTAGCACAGCCTAGCATTCTCCAACACGCGCATTCAGCGGAAGTACTGTGTTAATAATACACCACCTTCTGCTAACATTTCATTAATCTTTTCCATCCTTATTTTAGGAGTTTAAAGCTTTAAAATTAGATTAGTTCTTAGAAGCAAAGGTTTCATAGTTAACTCATAACACTTTGTTTACTCGCAGGGCGCTTGTGGCTTTCGGAGAATTAGTGAAAGGTTCAGTTTTTCCTTCCTCTTACCGTAGCAGGAATACACCTGCACAACTCAAACATAGATTCATGCAGAGGCTCAAGAACAACTTGTGCTGTAGATATACATGTCTGCTCCATGCCACTCCTTCCTGGTCTCCAGTTGTCTAAAGACACTTTGTTCTAGTTCATACTTTCTGTGGGCCCTTCAAAAACTTTCTCTGTTCAGCACTGCACCCAACAGAACTGGCCCCGTTTTACTGCTCCTTTGACAGTTAGACTGAGCATTCTTGCATATAAGACGTATTTACAGGGTCAAGCACACAAAACTTAAGGAGTACTGGAATCAACGTCCAAAGAAGCACAATGGTGAGCTCTTCACCTTGAGTTTACCCTTTATGATCCAAGCTTTAATTTCATGACCACATGTAGTTCAGTGCATAGGACAGCTCCCTGAATGCGCAGCAGTTTGGCATGTAGTTTACTCCTTGACATTTGGCTGTGTGCTTATAGCATTTATTTAGTCCTCAAGCAAAGCTTTTTCCTCGTGAGTTCTTCCCAGTGATCATTTTTTCAGAGTACCTGTATTTGCACTCTCAAAGCAGTTTCAGTTGAATCCAATAATTATTAATGCTTACGTGTTCTGGACTCTGAGTGAGATGCTGAGGAATGCATAATGAGGGACTTTTCTAACTGCATTGATGATGTTAATTGCCCAGTATTATCAAAGTTCTGTGGCAAAAGAGAAAAAAAACCTTGTTTCTAGACAGAGCACCCTGTTACAGTTCAGCATTCGCAACTAGGAAATTGTGTATTGTGGTCCCTGCCTTCCTGACCTCAACAGCAGACTGAAAAATTACATGCACAGTGGCTGTTTCTGATCAGGACACTGCTAGGCCTAACAGGTTTGCAGTGCCCTGTTTCTAACTATACTTGCAGTTAGGGAATACCAAAACTTCCATTAGCCTGGTCAGAGACCAGGGGAAATCGGGAAGAGATTCCCATCTAAGAGAGAAATTACATCTGCGCAGCCTTCTCCAAGATGACCGTGTACCTCAGGCTGCTGCCATTGGCAAAACAGTGTACCCTGCAGCTGCAGCAAACCATTCGCACTCGCTGGAAACTTCCTAGCCAAACTGATCTTTCCATAGGCATTAAAAAAAAAAAAAGAAAACAATCACGACAAGGCATATCATGGGGGTCAAAAGCTAAATGAAAGAAAAAAGTTACTGAATGTGCTTCATAGGACTCAGATATATTATCCCCAAGAGAACACAAGAAGTGGGGGGTGGTGTGCCATTTCTATCAGAACAATATTGAGGTATTGGGACAGCTTAGCAATTTTAAGTATAATTTCAATCAGAATCTGTAACTTGAGGTGCTCTTAAAATTTCAGTGTTCTTGTGTATAAACGCGTACAATACGTATATGCATGACAGTATTTTCTGTACAGAGTCTAGTTTGACTTTATGTTTTCTCATACCCAAAGCAGAATCAAAAGGGAAAAAGCAGAATTTTCCAATAATTCAAAAGGCTTAAGTTTAGTTTTTACCTTGTTAGCCTATTCCTTCTCCCCCATACACACACATAGTTTTGTTTCACTGTGATCCTGGCTAGAATAGATAGAATACAAAAGAAATGCAGTTTTAAAAAAACAGTGCTCATCTGACACGTTTTGTGAAGTAGAGGAGTGTCGTGACGGAGCCTGTGGCACAGTTTCAGCCAAAATCAAATAGATACCAGTAAACGCCGAGCCTCGGGCTGTTACTCGTACCAATACTGCTTATTTAAGGCAGTAACTTACCCAGTGTGTGTAACGTGATGCACAGCACAGAGGTAACTGAGGTGTGTTGTACCTTTACAACTACTTAAATCTGGGGCGGTCTCTTTTTTTTACTGGAAGTTGTATCTGTATTTTCTAACTGCAGCTATTCGAGCTAGACTATCTACCTAGAATAGATGTCTAGAAATATTTTTTTTTTCCTTTTAACATTTAGTTCTTGACAAAATAAATTCTATACTAAAGATTTTACCTGCTATAAATAGATGGAAATGGATATGAGTATGTAGAGCATTAAGTGCCACTTAAATAAAAAAATAATTTTGAATACATAAATAGAATTTTGATGATAAGTACGTAACAAGCTAGAATTTACTTGAAATTGAAGTGGCTTAAGCAGTGTCAGCCATGTATGGGCTTTTTGACTTAACACACTTTATGCTGCTTTTTACCTAGGAAACTTGTAATAACAGTGTACGTTGTAACAAAAATCCTTATTTCTACATATCCATAAGTATCACGTAGTGTGTATAACACAAATAGTACTTGTTTTTTACAATTGTTGGCGATTTTAAAAAGCCAAAATGATTTAGTGGATTTTCAATTTAAGAAGTCAAAACAATTCAGCAGATTATTTAAGGCAGTTATCTGCAAAAAAAAAACCAGTAAGAAATTGATCCAAGCTGGCTCATTTCTAGTGTGCCTCAATTTCATGAAAATGAACTGTATCAAACTGAAAGTAGTACTTACCATACACTGTTCTCTAATACAAATGTAACATATATGGTATTTCTCACTTTCCTGTATTTCATGTCTAATGTGGTCACATAATGGTTGTTCTAGTCTTCACAATTCTGAATTTGTAGCCTTGAATTTAATGTAAAATCTCCATTGTTTTTTCTTGCACTTTGTACTTGACTAAAGGAAAAGTAGATGCTTACGCAGCTGAACAGTAAGGTTACACAAATCCAGACTAAGACACATTTTTGTGCCGTCACATTTACTTTTATCAGCCAGTATAAACAAGACATATGACTACGGTTCACTCTGTTAGCTTTGCTGTGAAAGACCAGAGGTAGTGTTTTACATGGGCTGTCCACCACACAGACTGCCTTTTGGCATAATTCTATGTCTGTTACTACTAGGAATAAATTCAGTTCATTATATTACATTTCCAATGTTATTTAATGAAATTTAAAGGCTTTGATACTAACAGAAAACACTTCTCCGTTATGAAGTTTTCTTGATTTTTTGGGGGGAGTGGGAAATATCTTAGATTTCAAAGCAATATGGATTATACTTACAACTTTCAAACTACAGCTTGGAACTTCAGTGCAAATAGCCTTCAGAGACGAAACAAAGTTAAAAGTAAGGGGATCTGTGTCTCTTGAGAAACTTATGAGAAGTCGTACTTTAATACTTCGTAAAACTAATGCTTCTCTTATCTTCCCATCTAAATACGGCCAGTACCTGTGGAGAAAGAATATAATATATTCAGAGAACTTAAAAAAACCTTGGATTTTTATGCAACCAAGTCTAGACATCATAGAGAAAACTAAATGCATGTGAATTTCATTTTCTATCCGTTGAAGGAATAAAGGGATTCTCACTAAGCAGATCTGCCAGCATCCTTTTTTGTGTCATTCTGCCCTGCACCAAAACTGTCACTGCGGGGACAGCGAGGTTGTGGATGGTTGAGCACATCTTTGATCTGTCTAGGTGCACGGAGAGCTGCCAAAACACTTGCACTAAATACAGGTACCTTGTCCGCCCATAGCTGGGAGAGTTACTCCTGTGTCACTGTCTGTGGTGAGAGCAGCGGAGCTCTTGCAGTGCCAGAGAAGCAGCAGAATGAGCTACAGCTAGAGGGTGCTGCTTACCCAGCCCAGACAGAGGGACAAGAAGGCTTTTCTGTTGGTTACACAAGTAAGCGAGCAGGAACACGGGATCCCTCCCTGACTGCCATCCTTTTTTTCCTCTGTACTGGCACCATACAGGCTGGGGACTGGAATGCCTTGCTGTAATTTCTTGCTTGGGAAAAGGAGAGCTGCTGCTATGCAGGGTGCCTGCATCCTTCAGTAGCAGATGAAGACGGGTCATTTAAGGAGGATGCTAGGATGGGGATTTTTCCTGATGAGGATTGCAGAAATTCTGCCATGAATGGGATGGCGGCTTCCATGGTGCTATTCTCACAATCACTAGTTAGCTTTGTGTTCCTGACCTTTGGTGGGAGCAGGTCAGGACAGGGAGAATTGGGCAAAGAAAAATGCATGTTTTCTTTATTCCAGCAGCATCATTAGGCATTCGGCCTAATGATGTCTGAGCTTTACAATGCCAGAAAATAACTTACAAGCAAGAACTGGGAGCTGGCGAGGCAGGGAAGCTGTGGCAGTGCCTCAAACACAAAGCCATGCTGCAGGAAAAATGTTGAAGGATTCACACAGATGGCTTCCCTGGATCTCCCTAATCCAATAGATTGCTGAATTCTTCAGACATGAGAACAAAGTAAGGAGGAGTATAGGAGATAACATCAACTGCAACACTATACCAGTTCTACATACTAAGTTCCTTTCCAACATAAAGGAGAAACGCGAGGGATGCATATTGTGAAACTGAGAAAGAAACACGATTCTTTCACTGCAATAGAGGCTGTACATAATGAGTTTATCAGAAAAACGCTCCTGTAGATCTGAAACAGCGTATGCTTGATATCAGTGAAATGATAGTTATTTTTTGAAAAATTTGAACAAAACATCTTTAATTATGCAAAACTGGAAAAAAGCACATAACCACATCTTTAGTCTGGCTTAACTGTGTTCAGGTAAAATGCATGGATGGAATGGTGAGCTTTACTAAACGCTCAATTCATTGCGAGTGTTACCAAGAGTAGGAGGGACCACTGGATACTTGCCTTCTGAGTTGGATGGTTCTATTACAGTATGGCTCCAGTTTTGAGTCTTGAGTGCTTTTTAATGGTCCATACAAACAGCGTGTTTAAAAATTACTTAGTTTTGTTTGTTTTTAGCAACTCTCAGTTAACAAAAATGTGATATAATTCAAATGTAATCTGTGCTGAATTTGGAATTTCCATGTATATGTATATTTCAACAAAATAATGACATCTCTCACATTGTGTGCGAGAACTCACAACGTGTTATCTCTCTCTTAACACACATGCACACACACACTCACTCTCTCTCTTTCTCATGTTGAATATCTGTATGATACTCATAAAATGCCAGTAGCTGTGGTATCAAGATAGTGAATACAATAGTGTAAGAAATAGGATTAATGGATAAGCAGATTCTTGTATTCCTGGGTCCCAGTCACTTGCAGATGGTCAGACTAGACAATTTCTGATCTCCTTCGATAGGCAGATCCAAAGCTTAGGACCCAGAACTGGAAACGTCTTCTTGGGTCCCAATTCTGCTCCCATTTAAGTCAATGGCAGAACTCTCACTGATTTCAATAAGAGCAGAATTGGGCCCCAAGAAATTGGTCCACAGTAGTAACTAATCTCCTGTGGGTTCATTTTCTCCAGCAGACCTTATTGGCATTATGTGCTAGTCCTGGACATGGACACTCACCGTTTAGCATTGGTGTCAATGACGATGGGCAAGTAGTCCATGACAGCTATGTATACAAACTGTTTCGCGTCATCGATAACACTGTATATAGCTTCAATATCCAGGACTCTGTCCTTTGGGCAGAAGAGCTTAGGTGAATTCTGTGAAGGGAAAAGTTCAAGTACGTAATTTAAAATACGTGATTTATTTTCCCTTCCCCTCATTCTTCTTGAGATGGCAAGTGGTATTCTTTATTTTAGTAGAGAATATTAACTGATACCTCCAACGGTCCTGCTAGAATACTCAAAGGTATAACCGGAGGAGAGTTATTTGCTTAATTTCCCCTTGAAGGCCTCCCCATTTACGTGTAATTGTGGGTAAAATGCAGGAGAGACAAAAACTTCAAAACATCCACTGTCATCAAAGAAGCTCTAAGTGAAGTTATATTCCAGAGAATTTTGTTCCAAAGAGTCCCAGGACTGGTTACTATTGGATGGAGTAATACCTGTGTTCTTACCACATGAGCCTGATCCATCACTTGCTATGAAGAATTAAGTCTATCATGTCAGTTCTGTTCAACGTTCCATGCAAAGTCACCATTTGCTCAGTCACTGTCGCAGGGAGATGCTGCAGTTTTGCAAGGAACTTATCTTTAAAACCTAGTATCAGGTATAAATTAACTCTTTACCTGGTACTGAGCCGGTATGTGGTAAGCCCAGATTTCAGCTTTTTTGCCTTGTATCTACGGCTGTCGAATGTGTCGATCTGCAAGGGCAAGCCCGCCG